GGGTGGTGGAGAAAAGACAAAGACAGCAAAAGTACCAAAAAATAGGACAACAGGAACCGAAAGAAAGACAGAGAGAAATAGGGAAAGAGCAATATGATTTTGAAAGAAATCGGATGGTCTGATATTAGGGAAACGGCCAAAAATAAATGAAACTACAGTAAAGGGCAAAACAAACCCATATATTGAAGAAAATGGAATGGATTTGAAAAAAACCCCCCTTCAATCCTTTCTGAAAAAGCTTAAAAATGATTTCCTCAAGTAAACCAAACCAAGCCTGCAACTATGACATATTTTACAGAACTGCAGCAGCAATGTGTAATCTGAGCCTTGTTGAGCGACTACATCATAAATAATCCATTGTCCAGCATTTCAAATTGACTAAGCCCAAAATGTTTAATTAAAAAAAAAAAAATTGCTGTTTTTTAACCAGTGGTATTCATTGCATGAGTCTGGGGAATATTTTGACAAAATTCAAATTCTAAATGTAAAAAAAATCAGGAAAGGATACATCGTGTAGGTACAATTGTTAACAGAATGAAAATATTATCCCTCCTGAGAATGTTTGCTTTAGGGGCTTAGCATATTTTAACAGCTTGCCGACAAAGTATGTTCATTAATGTGGGAAACAGAAGTCGGTAGACTGCCATGCTTTCCCAGCTCAGGATTAATGATCCAGCTTGGTGAGCAAAATTCTTATAAACAAACACTTAGGAGCAAAAATTAATACAGAGGAAAAAAATATTATAGCAAGAATCAGTCTTCATAATATTACATTCAGTCAAAACGACAGTGGAGGAGACCTGTGTGACAGAACACAACATTTGTGTTCAACATTCATCTATAAAATGTAATACATAATAGTAAACGTTGTCTATGTGTCTCACTTTGAGCAACTCTTGAAATGATGAATGTATGTAATGGTGAATCAGTGATAGCATATTCAACCATTTAGAGCTATAGGGAATTATAGCTATATATATATTTAGTGTATAATTGTATTAGTGAACTAATATTATACTGGTAACTGTGTGTGAGAGTATGTCTAGGTTTGGGGTTTTTTCATCTTCAGCTCAAGTCATAAGAAAAGAAAACTTCAGATTACGTTTCACATAACAGTCACAGAATAGTTACGTATAAACCGAATAGTTATAACAGCTATTTGAACTGAAATGTTTTATTCTTATGGTATTTTTTGTTTTGCCCCCAAAAGAAACAGTGATGACACTTCTGAGGAAACCTGACATTTTCACACTGTAGCAAGAATGGAAAAACAAATGTTCAACAACAGCAGTCTCATGGAAGAATGAAAGGAGAACACAGTTCACAAGTTTATGCACTAATGGCTGTGCTTCTCTGGGAAATGGGAAACCAGTTTCAGTGCATGTAAGGTTCAGCCTGTGACCAACAGTACAAAACGATCATGCTTGCTTAAAATACAATACACTGGGCCACAGTGAGCTGCAATAACGGAATTGAGGGGAGAGCACAGCATTACACGGACACAACCAGTGTCTAGGAGCAAGGAACAAAGTAATAATGAATGAGCTCAACCTGTCAGTTGGCGTAAACTTATTTCCGACAGCACTTTCCTGAAGTACTTCAAAGTCAACCCAACGTGCAGTCAGATATTCATTGTTGATAAGATAGAATGAGTCGGTGAAGGGACAACCTAATTCCATATAGAACAAAGCAATACCTGCCATTCAGCATAAGCTGATTTTCTTTCAGCCCTTTCTTGAAGAACTTCAAAGTCAGTTAACGCAAAGCACAAGTCAGCTCATTCATTATCAAGAAAATAAAAGGAGCTTGAGAAGGGATAACCCATTTCCAGACAGAATAAAGACTACATGCATGCTGTTGTTATCTCAACTCTACATTACTGTGTTATCAGTAGGTATAACATGTAACATGCACTATAGTATAAGATTTGAAAAAAAAAGAGAGAGAGAAAGGAAAGATTCAAGTAGAGCAAAAATCATTATTAATCATCTCTTTATTAAAAAAAGAGTATTACTTCTAGTTGATTTCTACCAGAATGATGAGACTCAGTAATTGAACTATAAGGTACTGTTTTGAGATGTCCTTTCATGTTCACCGGCCACTACAATTCAATGATCAGATATGCAATCATATCAGTATTATCACAAATTATATGAGCAGAAAAAAAATTCATATCAATTGAAATAGACAAGTTTAATCCAGTATGACAACATTTCTTATCACTTTAAAAAATTCAATTCCCTTGTTCATTAGTATTGGAGAATGATGCTTTTTGATAAATAACTTTAAAACCAACGAAAAAAGCAAAAATTTAAGAACCTTTTGGAGCTGCGTTGGGATAGAGCAAGTCAAAATACAGATTTCATAGATTTAAAGAGAGCATCTCAACTTTCACAATAGCTTATGGGCCTTACTACCATTTACAATAAGTGTTTGTACTTTAAAAAAAATAGAAATCAGGATGAATATTGTGAGAACTGTACTCTCATAAAGACGAAACACTGTCATGTTCCTCAATAGTGTTAAAGACCCCATCTGAATTGTAGAAAATAACCTATCATTTGTTCTATTCATATGAAAAACAAGTTTTGAGCTAATTATCTTAGACCTCTCCAACTAAATATTTCGTTGTCCAAAAACTCAAAAGTTCTGAAAAGTATATCCTAAAAGTCCAGAAAAAAATCCACATGTCACTTATAACGGAAGCAGGCAATCTCTCTGTACCTTATATTAGCACAGTATATATTGCTGTCTCACTCCAAAATAACTGAATACAAGATTGAACAACAAAAAAAAAGCAACAGGGGAAAAAAGGAAAGAAATGTATCGCACCGTAACGCTTTTTTTAGCCTCTTTTGGCTCTGGCTGTGGACAGAGGCATTAAAAGAACATACGTTTACAAAAGGATGTCAGAGTAAAGTGCACAGACTGTGTGTAAACATTGGTGGAGACAATAAATGTCAAAGTTTGAAGCAACAAACTACAAACTATTAGTGCATGAGCTTTTAAGGAATATGGCTTCTCTAAGCTGGTTCAAGAACCCACAAACTACACAACCACAATAGGACATAATAGTTATTTGGTGCAGGAACATGTTAACTCGTCTGTGCTACATCTATTGCTATAACACTTACATCGAGGGTTAAAAAAGATGAAGACACAAATCCTTAAACCTCAGTTCAATGACAAAATCAATATCTTCTCACTTGTGTTCCTCGTTTTCATTTTTCAAGTCAGAAAAAAAAAAAGGAATAAGGGTAACATAGCATAAATAACTAGTTAGAAATCATTAAATTGGTTATCACAAGCATACATTCAATTTTAAAAGTTCTTTCAAATAAGCACAATATGTGATGGCTATGAACTTACCCCTTTTTTCACATCGCCTTTCTTGTCTCCCTCCTTCTCTTTGCCACCTTTCTTTGGAGCAGGAGATGCGGAAGCGCGGTTCAGCATGTTAAACGCAAGTTTTGTGGCTTCATCAGAAATACCCGTCTTCCTTTTGGTCTGAAAGTACATGTGCGAAGTCAGGACACATAAATTATGCCCCAACAATAAAACATACAGGCACTGCATTATCGGAATGAAATACAAAGATAAATAAGCAATAGGGACTGACGTATATATATATGTTCTTCCTTTCTGACAGTTATGTTTTTTTAGTAAGTGTTTTACTGCACTTGCAACACAACTAGGTCATTTAAGTGCTGAAGATTAGAGGTATTACAAGAGAGCAACAAACACAAAAAAGAAGGAGGAGAGATAAGGATGACAGATGTTTCATGGAAAAAGGAGCAAACCACACCAGAGCACCCGCAAACCACCCACTAAGATATGGTATGTAGTGACATTCTGCATACTCCTGGGAAATGTTTCCAGTTTGCTCACAAGTAAACGAGCATACGTCTAACCATTAATATTCATAGAAACACCTAAACTTAGGAACACAATAATATTGACACAGGCATACACACGCACATGCACATATCCATGAACACACTCTCACATGTGCACACAAATCTCCAATTCTCAAAAAAGCTTATTTTGCAAGAAAACAAACACCTGAAGGTAAGCAGTTGCCCAATATAACTACTATTAGTATTGTAGAAATTAAAAAGTAACACCTTACTGACCTTACCCAATAATATTCTAACAACAACAATTTGGTTGACCAACCTTTTCATTCAAACAATAGTCAGTATATGCAACAACCTTGAATGCACCTCGGATGCGTTTTACTGTGGAAATTAAAAATAAAGGCTATAAAATATGAAACAATACCATATTACCCCAACATTGTGAAAACAAGAGCTATGATGAATAGATTCACTAGACCATCATTTTTCATAAAAACAAAAGCATTTTTCACCATATATATCAGAAGAAAGTTACATATTGTGATCTAAAAATAAACAATTTAAGACCTTTCAAATTCGTAGTATTGTCAGGAAGCAAAAATCCTACAAGTCCTCAGTATATCCTACAAAGTACATTGGACCTTCTACAGGTGCAAGAGCAGAATCTTACACTTCATAAAAATTAAAAGCACAAGCACCTTAGATTTTATATGTCCAAAACTAAAGGAAAAAGTAAAAAAAAACCCTTCTCAATACCTGGCCTGCCCTGTTATCCTTTCAAACAGCCAGATATGGATTGGAAAAGGCAATTATCATCCAGCCCACCAACACGATTGACTTTTACAACATGCATTTCAATAAAACACCAATAAATATGTGCATCTTTAATCAGGGTAGGGAAAGGGGGGGGGGGGGGGGTTCTCCCCCCCCCCCCTCCAAAAATCACTTGATTAATCAGGTGATGTCAGCAAGTGAATACAAAATGGATGGACAGGAAAAGCCATAGTATATAAGCCTCATCAGAGCTCCAAGTGTGAGAGCAAAAAGCATCTACAAACAATCTGAGCTCAGCAGGAGATCTTTAAAAAAGTCAGAAAAATCAAAGTAGGCCGGATTTTCGTTTGAATTAAAGATAAGTAGGGCAACACAACATAGGCCAGGAGAAACTAGGAACAAAAGGATTATAACGGACAGAAACAACTGATGACTGGAAAAAATCCAGACCAGCTAACAGCTTTCTCCTCCTCACATTCTCACATAAAGACATAAGACATCATCATCCTCTTTCTCACCCTGGATCAGAGTATAGGCCACGAACAAACACTTTCCACATTTCTATATTCTGTGTTAGCATCTTGATGTTATTTCAAAATAAGACATAGGTACTTAATAAAGAAACATACCTCCTGGATAAAGCAGGGGAGCCAGGTTAAGAAAGGCCACGCCATGGAAACTGATACTACTGTCATCCTCCTGAGAAAGGTGCATAAAAATAGACATCTCAGACAACAAATCTCTGCCCAAGCGATGTAACTGATTCTATAAAATTTAAAGAAATAAAAACTTGATGGCTTGGAATTTTAAAGCCTTCTACTAATAGGCAAAATTTGTCAGTGAAAATCTCGCTCATTTGATTAATGCTCATTCATCATTTTCCTTTACATAGACAAACTTTCAATAATATGACCAAGTACAAACTTCAACAATTTAAAAACAAGCACAACTGTCACAATACGTTATTATTTGTTTTTTATATTTAAAAAATCTCCTCCTTCTTTCATATTGTACAGAAAATAGACTACAACGTTTACTCAAGAAGACCAAATAAATTTCGTATTGCACTAGTACTATAAAAGAAAGCAACATGACAAGTACACAGACATTAACATTTATCAAATTTATGAATGAAGCAAGTTTAATTAGACAAATAAGCGTAAATTCTTTTTTTAAAAAAGCTCTCCCACCTCCTCCCCCCCCCCTGTAAAAAGTACCATAAGCTCAGGCATATTACAGAAAAAAGATTCAAAGCACAATTTCTATTCTAATGTAAGTCATATATACTTTTAAAATGAATTTGCTAATTTTATTTATGCTTTCAGCAAAATCGCATACAGCATCAACACAGTCATAACATAGTTTTTTTTATCTCACTCTTGTCATTAAATAGTAAAGTAAAGTTCTTCATCTGAATAACTCTTCATGCAAGTAGTTTGCAAGAAAAAAAACAGTAAATGAAAACCAGGAAGAAAATAGCAAAGAGAGAACAAGCAAAAATACACTGTGTGAGAAAAAAAGAAACAGGGTCAACAATCTGAAATTTAGCTAATTCAACTCAAAACGTTAAAGGGTAAACTTACGAAAACGATTAACTCTTTTCCACAACAAAAACAAGCTTTTCTAGACACATGTCAACAACATGATAGCTGCTACAACATCATCCACTACATCATAAGCTTGTTTCAAAATAAAGAAACTGGTTTATTTTTCTGTCAAAGCTCTGGTTCCTCTTTATTTGTCCCCTTATCAAATAGTTTATAACCGCTGTTATCTACATTTCTAAACATAGTAGATATAACAGAGATGGCACTGTAATACAATTGTCAAAACAGCAGTTTCATGGGGTATGAAAAAGGGTAAAAGAAAAACAGTTGTCTACAGATGTACATGACAGACAGGATGGTAAAAAAATATTATGGTCAGAACATAGACGACAATTTCGATTAGAATTAATTCCTATTTATTACAGTACTTGCAAGTCTATCTACCTGTGCAGAGCTGACACCCACTATGTTGATGTGCCTAGCATTATCAACAGTTTATTGTTCATTTCCCCAAACTGTTTTTTAAGACAGATTACAGAAATGATAGCACATCTACGATATCATATGCCAAGGGAGGTTAAATATCACTTGAACACAAATTTATTTTTATTTTTCCAACATCAAACTAAAACCACAGTACAGCTCGATCTTAACCTGAAAAAAATATTTATTCTCCTTTTATTATTCACTTTGTAGCACACAGCACAGAAAGGAGAAATCCTAGTTCCATTAGGAGAGAGAAAAAGCTAGAATGATATCACAGGAGGAAATGAAAGCAATAAAAAGCAAGTTTCATCAAGACTCAAACAGGGAAGGGGATTTCCGGATAAAATCAAGGTTAGGGAAGACAAGAAAAGAGTTCAGTGTGTTGACTCAGTGGTTCAAAATCCTAAATTTGTAAGTTTGTCAATTTTTCTCCCAATCTTTACTCAAGAAACAGTTCTGTATTTAAAAAAATGTTATCATGATCACTTTACAAACATAGAATACAAAGATAAATAGTGCATGCTTGATACAAAGACTAAATATATCACAGAAGTACTGTTATACATGTCCTGCCAAACTAATTATATTCCCACGACTGCCAAAAGGCAAACAGGTTACAGCGCTAACGGAAAAGAGGGGATATACATAATTCTTCTGTTTAATAGAGCTATGCATGTATAACTTATAAGTGGGGATCAGAGACAGTAAAGACTGACAAAGTCACAACATTCAGCCAGGTTGGTCTTTACCCTTCGTGAATATCCCTACAAAAATTTGGGTTAAATTCATTAGTAAAGTCAAAAGTGTGGGGGATATTTATCACAAGACATTTATAAGAGAATATGTTACAGTTAACAAAATATTTGAAGGTTGTAAAACTATGCAAAACACTTTTATAGAATATAATTATGTTAGTGTAGATCTATACATTTTTCATCCCCAAGAAGTATTTCAGAAAAGACAAATAAGAAGTATTTTGAAGTGAACCATAACAAAGAAAAGGAATAAAGAGACTTAAAGAAAACACTCACTGCTCTTGCCAGGACTATGAATCAATTAACAAGAGACAGTCAATAGAACCATACAACTTTAAAGGTATAAAAATAAACTCAGACATTGTCTTGAAGATAGATAATTAAACCTTAAGTATCTACAAGATGACAAAAAAACCCAACTGCTCGTACCTTTTTGCCTTTCCCCGCGGCAGGCTGTGGCATCCTCATGATTTCCACGGGCCAGTAGCGGTTTTTGGCGATGGTATCTTGAAACCTGTGTTATACAATAACCCCAGAGACATAAAGCTGTGATGCAAAAATTTACACACTGAGGTAATTGTCATCAATCATGGCACCAGCCATATCTCGGAGAGGAAAAGTTCCTCAGAATAATCTTCCTTTGTTTTCATACTTCACCTCAACACAAATGATACATTAAATCATCTAGCTGAGTTTAGAAAATCATATCAAACCAGCAGTTCAAATTTCAAGTCTTAGTAAATAAAACAGTGATAGTCCCAGTTTTACTTCCCTTATCTTTTCATCTGCATGCAGGATCAAAGAAGAACAACATCTAGATCGACTAATTAAGACAAATGTCAAAATCTGTGAGTTGTGCTCATTTAACTCTAAAAAGAGACAGTTGTACCTTTAAAAAGCTAAAACAGCACATAACATTGAATTCCAAATGCTCTTTATAAATAATCTTATACATGAAAACAAAAAAAAGAATGAAGCAATTCAGTATACTTTTGAGACATAAACAAACCAATCCACTGTTAGAGAAGAAAGAAAGCAATTCATTTGGTACAAACACATTATAGTGCTTAGTACTCAGTTCAGCACACCAACTACGTCCCCCAATGCCAGCCAACTGACCCTCTCACAGCTGAGGTCTCTAAGTAGCAGCGACGTTCCATGTTCCATGTGACTCGATTTTTTTCTGTCTCAGCTTGCTGTCTGTTGTCACGGTCTTCCTTAGCCTTAAAATCCCCATCTTCATCTTCAATCGGATCAGAAAACATGAACCTGAGGAGAAGAGAGAAGAGCTTTTCTTGAAAGATCTGATAAACACATAATGCATGAAATAAGGACTGTACTAAAAACTGCATTCTGTCTTAATTTTTATTCCTGAAAGCAGTTAAACAAAAACTGAAAAATTTATTGACTAAATATATATTGTGATAATCAGTGGATCAAAGCATCACTCAGGTTTTGTATGAATAACTCAGAAGAACTAACACATTGCAGAATATCTTTTGACACAGAGGCAGACCTCAATCTTTACAGAGAAAATAGGATAAGAAAGAAAGAAAAATTGATTAAGGCTCAAATCAGAATTTACCTATTAGATTTATAAAAATGTTCAAGACTAAAATGAATAAAGTGATGGACATTTAAACAAAAAAAAAGAAAATAGCATTTGCCGATCCCCTTAGCACCAGCTGTTACAGGCAATCGACTGTTAAGAGCAAGCTTCTATCATGTTTACTTTTCAAAATGAAATAATGACTTCTCTTCAAATTTAACTGTATCATTTTCATTTTTTTGGTCATAATTCAATGTTTTACAAATTGTAAAAACAACTTAAAACGTCGTTTCTACAGATTTTTTCGGTTACATTTTGAATTGCATGACCCATGGAATCGGTGAAAATATCTTAATTAACTTAACATATTCTAAGATATGTAGTTTTCCATTCTAAAAGACATTCATCGGGTCAGGTACAGTCTATTTGCTAATTTTATCCTCTTTTCAAAAACATTATCCAAAACTATCCAGTAACAAATCACTTCTTTTCAAAAGTGTTTTCTGCAGTTTTGCAATGCACACAGCTCCTATGCTGAAATATGTATCATCTATCATTCAGACAAACACTGAGATATCTTAAAAGACATAAACTGAATCATGCATGGAAATAATAAGGCTTTCATCATGGTGGTGTCAGTATAAACTGAAAAAAAAATCATGAAGGGCCTGATTTCCTAGGCTATCACATATAGACTACTCACTTGTCTGGCATGAGAACTGCATTGCCTTGAGCTGATCCCGGCACAGCCCATTTCTTCTGTTTACTCGGGATCTCTTTGTCTTGTCCTGGCTTGAGGACTCCATTGATGAACACAACAGGCACCTCTTTCTGTATCCAAGGAGGAAAATAGGAGAGTCGGATCAACAAGGAATACATCTGTAATATTTAGTCTGGTAAGCACATAGTGAAATCAGTGGGACATGGAAATCTTTTCATTATATATACATTTTTCTATGTATATGTTTAAACTAAAAAGATAATACATGTGTAAGAAACATTTGTTCGCCATGTGTGTATTTGCCATGTGCGGGCTAGACTGTATATGTTGACTGCATTTTAATATTTATTCTCTGCTGTGGGTTCATTTTAAGAAATAACTTATTCATCAACAGCATGATGAAGAAGACAAAGTATTCTTACAGAAATAATCTGGGGCAAAAATATCCTTTGCTTTTCATTTATTTGCAAACACGTTCAACCTTCAGACATGTGAAGGGAAAGCTCTGTGTTTTCAAAATTCATCAAAGAAGGACAAACTACAGAGTAACTAGATCTATGGACTTACAGAGTGGGATTCTGTTCATTTCACAACATAGTCTAATATTTCAAAAACTGACAAGAAAATGTAATAGCATTATAGCTCTAACCAACCCAGATCTGCAGAGGAAGCAGCTCAATGATGTAATGATGTCCAAGTTTCTGATTCATTGAGGTTGTTCTTTACCTTCTATCCTGTAACTCATTTCTCGCTTTCTATTAGTAGGTGAGAAATAATAAATACAAAAGACCTGAGTCTAAAATGGGATATGATTTTTTTTCTTAAATGGACAGAATAAGCAACAAGAAACCATTCCCTTCCATATCAGAGTAACTTACATCAGCTGAGATGGGCACTGGCAAGGCAGTGCCGTACATGTACTGTGTGCCAGTCAGAGTCCAGGTGTCAGGTGGAGAGTACAAGCTGCCAACAGACACAGTCATGAGGTTCCCGTCATTCAGCTGAGCCTCATCCAGCAGTGGTTCATTCACCGTGACCTTGATATCCAGCTCTGCCTGGTACAGAGAAAAAAACAAAACAACCAATATGTTTCTGACGTATTATAACAGTACCCATCACATCTTTTCTTTTGCTGTTACTCTGTGAACTTTGCTTGAAAACAAAATGCATTAACTAAACAAAATGCATTAACTATCATTAGAATGTCCTATTGTATTTGATAAATTTTTTTTTAAAGTACCACTCTCCCCAAAAGTAATTTATCATGTCTAAAGTTTTTAATTCTGTTGTCATTCACTACTTGTTTAAAGGAAAAAACAGAAGGCTACTGCCATATACCAAATAACTTGTTGAGAAGTTTTGTGTTTACATTCAAACATCTGGTGGCAGAAAATTGAGGCTCATGACTTCACACACAAGCGATTACTATAACCATCCCTGGCCAGCATGTCAATGCACAGATATAACACAGGCAAAACAGGGTGTTCAATAACCAACAGGTGAATTGATAACAATCTTTAAGTGAGTGTACATCACAAACTGCTTATTTGTCATGGTACCATAACTGATAATATATATTAAGTATGCCATTATAAAAAAACAAAACAGCCAGACCTTTAAAAATAACTCCCTTTTCTGACCAAAAATTTATCTGTATCATCGCAGTTCCCAGGAGGAACAAACTGCTGCAAAGTCTTGTATCCATATATATATTATTGTCTCAATCATACTTTATCCAGCCAGGACTAAGTGGAACCCAACATTCCACCAGAGAGATGAAGATACTCAATAAAAAAAACCTTCATAACACAAAAGTTGAACTCAAAAAAATATTTTGCGGGCACAGCAAAGTGCCAAACCATTACATCTGCTGGGCAGTCATAACCTGTAACACAATAGATGCTAGTTTGGTCATACAAGCTTACTAAAAAAATTATTGACTGAATCAAAATTACTACACGTACACAAGTACTGTTTTATTTATAACACTTTGAACTTTGACAAAAGGGAACAGCGGCTGAATTAGAGACATAGTACCTTTAAAAATATATCATCCAAATAATGTGGTTAACTGTCAAAAATAAATGCAATTTTGTTTTCACTTGTGAAATTGGGACTGTAATTGTTTTCATAATTCAAAGAAAAAAAACACAATATGAAAGAAAAATCAAACAGGTGAAGAACAAGTCTGACCTTTGGGGCCTCAGGTGGTGCAGTTTCTAGAGGGGAACCAGCTACTGGATTGATGATTAGACTCTGCTCCAGCTCAGTGGCTCCTGCAGTACAAGAGAAGAATTATGGGACTCATAACCAAGTGAAGATTTTTTGTGTCATAAGGTTACAAACAGTTTATCAGTATTCGTTTTATTTTTCTTCTCTCACCCACTACCTTTGGTAGAGTCTTAGGGATGCTCCTTAGTTAGTGATCAGTGTCCCAGACTTTCCCCACTTCTCCCTATCATGTGGGAGAGACTGGACTTCTGCAAAATGCCTCCCTATCCACTCACTGATGTTGTCTTTTTTTGGGGGGGGGGGGGGTGGGGTAAATATTTTACGGCGCTCCCAACTGCATCAGGTCATATGAGCGTGCGGGATACACCAAACATTTTCAATTGGTAGGAAATTTTGAATTTTGCTCAGTTGGCGGCCTAGGCCTACTTTTATCAATTTTGGACCAACAAGGGATCTTATATGTGTGCAACTTGCACACGGGACCTCCGAGATTTTTCGCCCTTGTCCGAGAAGGCTAGACGTAGATCTTTCCTACCAGAAGATCAGGGGTGTGGCTGAAAGACAGCAGTAAGAAGGAGCCAAGGAGTAGCAGAAGAAAGGCTGCATAAAGAGTCAGGAGCCCTGTGGAGGGGGCAAAGGAGGTGAGGGGGTGGGGGAAGAAAGTGGAGACAAAAGCATCATCATCATTGCCTTTCTCACCCTGCACCAGGGTATAGGCCACGGACAAACACCTTCCACCTTTCTCTATCCTGGGCTAGCCTCTTGATGTTATTCCATGTCTTCCCACTTTTCTGTACATCGATTTCTGTGATTCTTCTCCAGGTTCCACGCGGTCTTCCCCTTGATCTCTTACCCTGTGGGTTCCAATCCAAAACTATCACCTGTTCAAGAAAACCTGGATCCTCTTTATGCAAGTCTGTGATGCGTTCCATGTCTCACATCCATACATTACAACAGGACTGACTTCACATTTGAACTGAAAATCCTCAGCTTTGTTTGAAGTGAGATATCTCTGGTCTTCCAAATCCTATCCAAAAAAATGAAAGCAGCCTGTGCTTTTCCAATGCGGGACTTTATTTCAGCATCTGTTCCTCCCTCTCTGTCAATTATACTCCCAAATTAGCAGAAGGATTGAACGTTTTCTAGTGCCTTTCCTTCTATTGTGACCTGCTCCTTTCGTAGTGCATCTGTCCTTAGGACCATTGACTTTCCGGGGTGGATCCTCAATCCAACAGACTCCGATAGGCTGTTTAATACTGAAGTCTTTGCTTGCATCTGTTCCTGGGTGTGTGACAGAAGCGCCAAGTCGTCTGCAAAATCCATATCGTTCAACTCTGTCCATGGTGTCCACTGTATACCATATCTGTGTCCTCTGGTGGTTTCCTTCATCAGCCAGTCGACTGCCAATATGAAGAGCAATGGTGATAATAAACATCCCTGTCTCACACCAGTCTTGATGTCAAAGCTGTCAGTGAGCTGGCCATCATGTACAACCCTGCAACTTGTCCCTTCGTACATGCTCTTGATGAGGTTCACCAACTTCTGTGGGATTCCGTGGTGTCTCATTATCTTCCATAGTGCTGCTCGGTCTATACTGTCAAAAGCCTTCTCATAGTCAAGGAAGTTGACGATCAGCTGGGAGTTCCACTCCAGGGACTGTTCCACAATAATCCTCAGCGTGGCAATCTGCTCTGTGGTTGAGCGAATTTTCCTGAAACCAGCCTGTTCATCCCGTAGTCATGGATCCGTTGCTGTCTTGATTCTCTCTGAGACGAAAGCAGATGGCAGAATATTGCAAGAGAGAAGGAAAGAAGGTGAAAGGAGACAATTTTGGAGAAGAAAATTTCTCAGTCGCTACCTGGATTCAAACCCAGGACCTTTGAATGAGAGGCGAACACCTTAACCTCCAGGCCACAAGAGCCCCCTTGATGTTGTCTGAATACCATTTCATTTATTTGGATCTCTTAATAGTCCCTCTTTATTGTTCAACAAGGAAGTCTTAACCAATCCACTCGATTTTCTAATGTGATCATGCCATCTCAGAACCCTTTTTTATGGTTGTGAGAAGATCTTCAAGATAGCCAATATTATGTTGGATGGCCTGCCCATTTTCATTTTTCATTTGATCCACGCACAAGATGTTATGGTAGGATACCATTTCAAGCATCCCAACTCTTCTCTACAGCTCTGTACAGAAAGATGCAGAATGCCAAAGCATGCTGGCCATAGTCAGTGCTCCTAATACTTTGAGATATAGATCTAGTCATCCCTCAAAATGGTTTTCCATTTTTAGATATCAATATGCAAAAATAAACCGACCAATCTAATGAAGTCTATTGACAGTACTAGTTACCTCAAACTAAGAAATTTGATGTATCAATTAAGCTGGAAAAAAGTCTCATTATTCCACAAGCCCAACCACAACAGTTTTATGTTACCCACACCAAATCTCAATCACCAAGAATTTGAGAGAGAATTCCATTTTTTAGATTGAAAGAACAGGAACTTCTAATATTGATTTCAAGCAGCTTGATGCCAGAAAGCATTTCATAACCTCTTTCTATACAACATAAGAACCTATTGTGATCCAAATTCTCTGTAAATGCACTTGCTTTTGAATTATTTATTAATGTGGTTCACATTGAGTGAAATTGAGGGACAAGATTCCTAAAAGACAACCATGCTCTATACCACAATATACAGAATAATGCACACAGCATAAGAAACAATAAAATGCAATACATATTCCTAATGGTACTTATTTACTCTAAAATAATCAAATCAAATCCGACTAACCTCTCACAAAGGAGATAAGATCGATGCAGCACTGGCCAAGGATGTTTGTTTTTTCCTCTTTCTGTCTCTTTTCTTTAGGCAATACTTCTGTTACAGTCACTGAAATACACAAGAGAAAAAAGTTACCATACAGATAAGCTTCTGTCTCCAGCAGACCTTGTGATATCAATATTATTTCTGCCTACTTTATAACATGATTTTTCTACTCCTTCCATGATTTATCAATTCTTACTTTCAACTATAAATTCTTGGGATGCCTTAATAAAATGCAGAAATGAGTCTGTACTTTTTTTTATGAGCCGTGTCTGCTTTAACATCTAGGCTGGGAAAATAGCATGTGTTAAGTTAAAAAGTCAGAAGAAAGAAATTAAAGATATGATAGAATGAAAGTTGAAACTGTGATTAGACAAGCACTGAATTACACATCAAACTTGGAGAAAAAAAATCACATTTGCAGGTCAGTCTCATTCATAGAACTATTTTGTCTGATTCCTTATATATCTTTGCTTTGAATTAAATGATAATTTGGCATGTTTACAAAAATAAGTTTCAAAAGTTATTTTATTTTACTATGATAAAATTGGAAACTCCAGTTGTATCAGTAGCTTCAAATTAAGATTTCTCATGTAAAGTTGGGGAAACACTGTACAGATATTCTGAGTAAAAAAATGAGAACTCAAGGCTTGAAATGGGGATTGTGAGTTAACATTCAACTTCTTTCTCAGAGAGTCCGGTTTCACTGGTAAAACTTGTTCCGAACTGAAAGTAAGCTGTACAAACTAGGGATGGGCAGGTACCGGTACCCAGTACCGTAACTCATAGTACTACCGGAGGTGTCAGTACCGACTCTGGGAAGGAGCCGACAGCAACGGTTTTTTTACCGGCCCTGGGAAGTGTGCAGTGTGTAGGCCTAGGCCTAGCAGCAGTGATGTCAGATGCACAACACAGCGGGTAACTTGGATACATGACTTCAGATTCAAAATTGACAATCAAAACGACATTTGTACAAGTTTAAAAATGGCATCAAATCAGGTCCCACATGAGCCTCTTTGCTTATTTAGATACGCTGATTCCGAAAATAAAATAAATTTTTAGCGGCGATAATTATTTTTAACATTCTGCATGTAAAGTTTAGTCCAGCACGGTAGCAAACTTAAAAGGTATTTTGCGCCACAGTTCGCCTCTCTAATTCTGATTTGTGAGTGTGTGTGTGTGTGTGTGTGGGGGGGGGGGGGGGGATGCGGGAAAGTACTGACACAGGGTTTCTCCGGTACCACCCAGCAATAGTACAAACTGGGTTTCAACGGTCTAAGATCTAAACATTTATCTGCTTAATAAGGTTAAACACTTTTCTGTCTCAAATTATGTTATTAACAACTGTAATTACAATTGGTGATACTATGATAAATAAAAAGAACATTCTACACAAAATTTAAGCGATTCTAGACTAAAATTTGTTTAAAATACATTTTTAAAAAACAGTGTTTGCCTTAATTTGTCCAATAAAAGGTTAGATTCAGACATCAACAATATGTTGTTCCCAAATACATCAGATGATTTTCTGAATTTGAGAATGCTAAAAAGAAATAGAGGCTTCGAAGCAAGTACGACATAGGGCATCAAGTGGTCCCTTTCAACATCAAGCAAACAAACTAAAACAAAACTCAAAGAAAAGGAAAAAAGGTCAATTAAAAACCTTAAAATCAGAACAGGTCTGTGCCCTGAATTTATAAAAACAAATAAACAACAGGTCATTTTTAGTGAAGAGTGCACTTACAATAATTAATCTAATAGCCATTTAGACTTTTGGCTCTGCATTTTTACTGTTTTTCCTCTGGTCATTGTATTCTTGAAAGTCACTGTCATGGAACATGTTATATACTAAATGAAATATCATTCTTTCATCTTTTCAGCCATTTACAGCTCCATTTGATTTGTTGTGACGGACTTTGCTCATAACAATACAGTCAGAAACCAACCCAATCCCCTCACCCTCTGTCAGCCACAAATATTTTTTGGGGGAAGCTCTGGACAACAGTTCACTTGAAATCGGATCAAACGGATCTACTGTTTCTGAGAAGTGTTCTTGGTGTAAGGTAAATAACAATGAAAGTCTACTAATATATTTTAGGTGTGTGTGATGGGGGAATTATGAAAGCAACGCAGAGGTAATGAGTTGAGAAGTAACTTACCAACAAGTGGTCTGTAAGTAATTTCGTCTAATGGCAGGGGATGGTTTAAAAGTGTAATACAAACAGTAAGTACTGACAATGTGCCCAACTGGTCTACTTAAGCTATGTAAAACCTATAGGAATACGCAGAAAAAGAAACCTAGAAAGCAAGAAAAGGAAAATCAAGTAAAGGAATGGCACAGGCTCAATGACGGTCTTAAAAAGATGGGTAAAGGCAAGGCAATGGACTGAAATTTTAAGCAATAGGATACAATTCTGACCTCACTGACAAGAGGGTTTACATCAAAAGGGATAGGTAGGGAAGTGAAAGACAAACAAACAAACAGATAGACAGAGTAAAAAAGATAAAAACAAATACAGAAGAGTCAGTCTGAAAGAGAAACAGAAAAAGACTGATATTAAGAAAGACAAACAATTTCTCTCAGCATAATCATTAAAAAAATCTTGATTACATGACCAAAAAAAGAACCAGAATGCAAACCCATACACCACTTAACAAAACAACCATTCCCCCCTCCCTTCTCCCCCCCCCCCCCCGCTTCCCGAAAAATAAAAACCAAACCAAAGTTTAGAATACAACAGGCAGATTCGAAAAGGATATATTGACTATATCTCTTACATGAAAATTCTATGAAACAAAGATGGTTAAAAGTATGAATTTAAGGAAACAAAAAATTGTGATTACAGTATACATGTTCCAAACTAAAAAGGAGGGCCAAAGAGACGTTTGTAAGTACTTACAAACAACTGGCTTGTACGAGATTTCATCAAGCGCCACGGGATCATCATAAGTGCAGTTAAGATTGGTGCTAAAATTGAATTCAGCGGGAGAATCTTGAGTGCAGTCTACTTTTGGACTCTCTCCAAGTGGCTTGTCTCCAAACTCGACTTTTACCATAGCATTCACAGTATCACCTTTGGAGCCCCTCTTCAGAGTGAATATGAGGATGAAAGACAGCACATACTTAAGTCCATCTTTTTTAAGAGCTAAGAATGTCAGTGACTACTAAATTGCAGATATACCTGTAACATTATGTCACACACACACACATACATCTCTCTCTCTCTCTCTCTCTCTCTGTATATACACGCATATATATATATATATATATATATATATATATATATACAGCCGAACCTGCCCTGACGGCCATCTCTATAAGACGGCCACCTGAAAAAACGGCCACTTTCCATTTCCCCCCTTGCGTTTTTTTCTACAAAAATTAACTGTGTAAAACGGGCACCTGTCCAACACGGCCGCGGCCACCATATTTTAACACACAACCCCTATCACACCAAGCAATAAAACCTGTCTTAGACGGCCACCTTAGTGACTCCACTACATTTTGTCATAAATTGTGCATTGGCCCCTGGCGTTGTGGGCGAGCCGTCATAATCCAGTCACCTGCCGTTATTGTTAGGTAGTAGTCTCTCCAACCGATCACGTTGGCCACTGTTGATCAATAGGTACCAATTTTCAGCTGCTGGTAATTAATGTAAGCATGTGATCCCTCATAACCCATAAGCCCCGCCCAGAACTCATACACAAATCGTAAGTGAGAAAAGTGGTCACTGTTTACCCAGTCGATAACAAAGCAATAATGGACATCAACATGAGCTTGTGACAGAAGCGTCGCTCGTTCTCCGAGTGGTGGCGACTCATTTGTTTGTTTTAACATGGCACTCGGTTTTCCTCGTCTGATACATTTAGTTTTATTGTCACCCTTGCGCAAAATCAGCAACAAAATAAAAATAACAAACAAAATAAAAACCAACAACAACAACAAAAACAACAATAATGCGGCTTCTTTCCATTGGGACCTCAGATGGGAATTGTTTGTTTTCTTCATTTTGATCAGTCCTGCCTAAGACGGCCACCTGTCTTATACGGCCACTTTTCTCCATGACAATGGGTGGCCGTCTTACACATGTTTGATTGTATATATATATATATATATATATATATCACGCACATATATATAAATATATATATATATATATCACACACACACACACACACATATATATATATGTATATATATATATATATGTATATATGTAATATAATATTATATATATACGATTGCAGCATTATATATAATAATTCCCACTGATATGCAAAAATATACAATTCAGTTTCAACTGTATCCTTCTTCTTTCAGTTTGAAAAGAAACCTCATTCTCTATCTAAAAACATATTCCAGTACACTGGATAAAACATGCCCAATATTTTGTACTGGAACATGAACAATTAGTGTGTAACATATAATAAGATAACATTCATAATTTAGAGAATTATTACACAAAAGCCCTGATCAAAGTATTAAAAGGATAGATCTTCTAGGTACTGTTCATCAGAAACTAAATATTCGTGAGCAGTAAGTTTGTGTGTTTGCAAGTGCAAGGCACACTTCCATAGTGGAATATACAAAGAATGCTTTAAATCAGATCCCAGTATCATTTCTTGCTAATACCAGCAGTTATGGTTGCAAATCCAAAAACATAGAAACTATATAATACCAAAATTCAGCTTACCAGATTTTTAGCTCTCACCACTGTGATGCTAATTGGCTCTGGGGGCCGAACATGTGAGATATCTGCCTCTGTTGCCATGCTGCTCACCACTCACCTGAAACATTAGAAAAATATGATATAGGCAAATCATTAACATTGTAATAGATCAGTTATTTCTAAATGGACAGAGTATGGGTAAAAAAACTAATAAGTTTATTTATATCAGTTTTTGTAATGGCAGTACATTTTTTAGCACTAGAATTCTTTTCAATATTCCGATTTTTCTAACTCTAGCATCGCTCATGAGCAGATGAGCTTCCAAGTAGAGGGCTAAATCTTACTTTATTACTCAAATCCACCAATTCAGAATAAAAGATTGCCATCCTGAAAATTACCCTAAAAACACCAGTTACTGGCAATACTTGTAAAGTGGTGTCTGCCTAACTAACAACAACTCCTTTGGGAAGCAGGCCTTGGTTGTTGTTAGGTAGACATGGTCACTAACTAAATTTTCAAAAGGGAGGGGGGGTGGGGGTGCACAACTATAAACTTCAAAGATACAGTCGAACCTGTTTATGACGGAATCTCAAGGGAGCCCGAAAAAAATTCCGTCTTAGACAGGGGAATTTAGGGGGAGATGGAGGGGGGGGGGGGTTTCAAAGGCCCAGCCGGTGGGATCAAGGATCGCTTGTCCGATTGGCAAGCAGTCACAAGTGGTCAAAACTTCACACCTCTCAACTGCCATCCTCTCTGATAATGACATGCATCACTCTTACTTATCCAATTACCACCAGATTTTGCCTTTCATAGGACCACTGTTTGACCTATTAAAAACAGAAACGTTTGAACATCTCCTTTGCTTCCACCCTTGGCCCCCACCCATCAGTGTAACAAGCACAGTCAACCAATGCCACCCCTCACTGACATCATGTAACAAGATTCGTGGAACTCTTTTCTCGGCTGGCCGTACGATCAGGGTGGCAGGCGTTGGTCAAACTAATTTCACACCTCTGACTTAATTCTGGCTACCCAGGAAAGTTTCCGTAGTGGTTCGCTACTCGAGCACTCTTACGGGCAGTTGTGAGATTTCACACCCACACCACCCTGACCATCTACATCGCTCAGGGCTCACATGATGGGGTAACATCTACCCCCAAATTGCACCCCTACCATCCTTCCTTGCCTAGCGGCATGGCCATGGCGTTAAGTTTAGAGCCGGCGGAACCAAACTTGCGAGTTTTGTTTCAAATCAGGGTTGAATGGGCAAAGCATTTTCCGTCTTAGACAGGTGAAACCCTCAGAAAGGAGCGGATTCTATGTTTGTTTTCGCGTTGGACAGGTTTCTGTTTTAAACAGATAATTAAAGAGGAATATATCAAGGGGGGAGCTGGGAGATTCCGTTAAGACAGGTTTCCGTTGAGGCAGGTTCGACTGTAATGATAACCCCCCCAACACACACACATGAGCCCTACTCCACAGCACCCAAAACTGGCCGAAATCGTGCCTCTCAGTTTCTCAGCTATCAAAGTCCGAACCACTCTGTGCCGGGTTACATGGGGGTCACTGGCCGCTCCTGCGCGTATCAGCTACAGGCGGACAGGTCATGGCGTAATCGACACTTTTGACACTAAATATCAGAAGCATCTTCACTGTAACCATGAAATATTTCATACCAGTAGAAAAGACTAAGTTTCCCTCTCACAGTCTACGAAAACCCGACCTAAATGGGATTATATTTGCCTGTGTTACTGTGTGTGCAAAATGTGTGTGTGCCTAAAGAAAGGTACCAAAAGTCAGGTTTTGACCCTTTTGAGTTAAGGGTTTGTACCTTATAGGTAATGTTGAATGCAATGGTTTTTTAATTTTTGAGATATCTCAAGTAGCTTTTGGGAAATTGCACATTTTGTGAGGTAGGGTATAAAGATCTAATTTTGAGAAAATTAGCTTTTAAGTTTAGGACACATACAAACTTTAAAAAATGATGATTCAATTGTTTCTACTGTATTTATTCATGGAAAATTCATTTCCAATTTGGCATTCAGTTGACATCAATATATCATGATTAGAATTCAATGGTAAAACATAGCGGGGAAGTGAAACCATGCTTCAAGAATAGATTATAACACTTTCTAAAAGCAGTTTTCATTATCTCTTAAAAAAAAATACCCTAGTCTCAAAATTATTCAAAATAAAATATTTAGAAGTCAAATCAATGAAAACTCTTTTAAAACATTGTTAAAAAATGGTGGAACTATTATTTTTTATGGAAAATTTTTTGGGTTAATAAAGTGATTTTTTGTCAATATCAACCTGTATCTCAAAATGGTCTGTGGCGACTTTTAGTACCTTTCTTTATGCACACACACAAATGTTCTCAATTTCAACAAATTTAATCTATGTTCATCGCACTTAAGGCATTTACAAATTTTTAAAGCTGTCTATAGATTTCACCAATTTTTGGTACATTTACAGAGAGCATATATTGTTATTTCATGTTTGTAAATTTCATCAAAGTCGGGAGAATGGTTGCAGAGATATTAAGTTACATCTATCGGATTCTCATTCCGTGGAGTGAGTGCAGGTAGACAAACCGGTAGCTGACCCCAGTCACACACACTGACCCAGCAGCACACTGCCTGGCAAAACTAAACAACCGCAGAATGCGGTGATGTCGTTAAATCAGAAAGTGACAACGTAGACAGTGTTCGACAATGGTGGTAATGTTATGCATAGTGGCCACGTTTTTTTCCAATCAGAAGGAAGGTGGCTCTTGATGAAAGGGTGTGAATTAAGCTCCTGTACTCAGTGTAGTAGTGCAGTGCAATTTTGGCCTGAGCAGTTGATTTGAGGAGATAAAAAGAGAAGGGATGCACTCACACTGAAATTAGACCAGCGTGTCAGTGTTCAGTTTTTGAATCTTCAAAAAAATTTGTCAGGCAATTCATGGCAATGGTAGTAGCAGTTAGAGGAAAAGGTTGCTGTACTATTAAAAGGGGTTATTCACATAGGAAAAAATATGTTACACAAGCTTAGTAGGCTGATTGTATATATTAGGCAGGGAAGTGGCTATTCTCACCTGGGGTGAGAATAAAAATACGATCTACCTCTCACCCCGGGTGAGACTTCCAGCGTAGGCTATTCTCACCCGGTGTGAAACAAGACCTGTTTTTCCTCATTTTGGAATACTGTCTATCGGTGTGGATGATCAAATTGATAAAAGTCAAGAAAAAATTACATTATAGCACAAAAGTAAGCTAATTTGATCGTCTTCAAAGATGCTATGGCTATTTCACTTTTCGAATCGAGCCGAACTACGAGGGTCGCCATTTTGTTTTGCCTGGAAGTTCTCGCGCTACTCCTCTCTCTCTCTCTCTCTCTCCACTGCCCACAGACAAAATTGCACGCTTTTAGGCTAACACTAACAGTAGTAATGGATCTAGAACGTTTGTTCACAGCACAGAATTCTATAATTCTGTTATCACAGTGTAGAATTATGTGGTTCAGGGTCAACGCTTCACTGGTTGGCCTAGGCTATAACGGTGAACGCCCACCGGGTGAGAATAGCCAAAAGACTCGCCTGCGCTATTCTCACCCGGGGTGAGAATAGAGGTGGCCGTTAGGCAGAGGTTGGTCTTTAATCAAGGCTGCCTAACTTTTATGTGGACACCACTGTAACAGTAATGCTGTATGTATATAAATAATACTTATTTCCAGGGCCTGCATAGTATAGGCTAAAGGCCTACACCTAGATCAGGTACAGTATAATAGATTCTAGTCTCAATCTTGTGGGAACATTTCATTTGAGGAGAGAAGGGGCAGCATCATTCCAAAGTTCTGTTCATGGACTTGTCATATACACTTTCATTTATCAACTAGATCTAGTGCCGCAAACATATAGCCATCGCAGTCATGAATCAGGTCTAACTGTATAATTTTACCTTTAATTTAACACAGCACGATAATTGACTCTATAGATCTAAGTCTATTCTCATCATGATAATATTGATAACTAATTAACCATGGCCCATGGCCATGCAGCATGCAATTGACATCGGCATGGCACATAAAATTGAGTTAGTGAGTGAGTGCAGCTCACTCATAGCTATTTCAAACACCGCGAATAAGTTATTATTGTATTACAGTGTGCTAAACGAAAGGAATACAAATTCAGGACAAATGCCCTGGAGTATATCTTTACCTTTGTCAGTGAGGTGATTTGGTTAAACAACTCTCAAGCTTGGGATTCGACACTTGTGAAAATAACTTCCGGTTACACTTGGCAACGGAGAACAATTTTTGTTTTCATCCACACGAGATTCAAAATATGTTAAAACTATTACAATCTGATTATAACAATTCAAACTTTCTTTTTAAAATTAATGAGGAAAGTGAAGAAGAGAAATTGCAGTTTTTAAGGGGGAGGGGGGAGGAGGGACAGACATACTACAATGCTCCAATGAAAATTACTATCACTGGTAGTGGACAATGAAATAATTTTGTTGAATAGAATTCAGTCAAAGATTGTACACAGCTGTCCAAAGTATCGACATGCGTTTGTATACAATGGTAAATAAATGGTTTTAAGAGAGTGTACATAATGATAACAGTTTTATAACGAGGCAGTAAAAAAGGAGTAGGCGAGCTTTGGGACTGTAAGAAGGATTTGGGAAGGTAGGCCTACGTTTTCTTGAATACATGATAGGTTCGAGTAAAGCTGTGTGGTTTTTTTTCTAGGCGGAGAAGGCAAGCCGGTATCGGTATCTGAAATCGGAAATCCCACGCCTGACGATGAATGCCATGAGTCACCTCCTTCGATTGAGTGCAGCATGCACCACATATCTTACTCACTCTACAGTGCGTGAGCTCAGCTTGTTTTAAAAAAAACAACCAGCATCTAAATTAAGAGCTGAGGTGCTTGATTCATGAAAGCCTTCCTTTGAGAGAGAGAGAGAGAGAGAGAGAC